AGATTTCTTTTCGTTTGGGAGATATGCTGAATGGAAATATTAAGGGGCCACCCCTAAAAGTCCTTAATGGGGCCATTTTACAAAAATTCAAAGTATGCATATTGTTAAGAATATTATTCTGACCATATTTTGTTCAATATTGCTTATCAAAATATTTCCTCTTTTCAAGATATGAAGCGTCAAAGATTTAGCATTCTGACCCCTTGTGACCCCTTATTACGTAAGATATACTTAAAAGTTGAAAATATGTTGTTGCAAATGGTCTAAAATTAATAAAAATCGAAAAATCGAGCAGAAAAAGTGATAAAATTTTTTGGACACACGGGGGATCGAACCCGGGTCGCCCGCGTGAAAATCCAACGCGCTAACCATTCGGCCATCGGGATCGCCGCTTCGCGTTTTCAAATGCAAATATCTCGAGATTGGTTTTTTCGATTTTCAAACAAATTACATATTTGGCTTCTGCAAAAGGGTCTCTATTCAATTCTAAAACAAAAATATTAAAAAAGAAAAGTTGAAAAATTACGTTTTTTAAATTCGCTTCCGGTTTCGACCGGAAGTACTGACGTCGCACGAAAAGGCGATTCTGCAACGCTATAAGTCATGAACTATCATCTCCAATTAATCTTTAGTTCATATCTAAAGCAGTTTTCGCTACTAAATCAAGACAAAATTGCATTTTAAAATCAGAAAATTGTCCATATCTCACGACCGGAAGTGACGTCATCGACGAAAAAAATTTCCAATAAGGTTCAGATCAGTACCTATCAGATGTTAAAGTTTCATGAGAATCGGTCCAGTAGTTTACGAGAAATCGCGTGCACAAAATCGGTAAGAATAATAATAATAATAATAATAATAATAATAGGGAAAAAGAAACCGAAGAATAACAAGAAGGTCTTCCGTTGAAGACGGAAGACCTTAATAATAACTAGAAACGAAACTCGTTGCGAGCAACGAGAGGTCTTCCGTCCGATTCAGAAAAAAAAACAACGTAAAATCAAACTGAAAAAGTGATTTTAAAAATCGGACACACGGGGGATCGAATCCGGGTCGCCAGCGTGAAAATCCATTGCGGTACCCATTACACCTTTGGGAACCCGCTTCAAATTTAACATTCGAATATCGCGAGATTGCTTTTTTATTCCAACATGCATTACATTTTTTTTTTAAAAATTCAGTTTGGAATTGTAAAATGACAGCCAGCTTGCCAAACTTTTGTCAAGATGATCACATCGGAATTTGTAACTTGAATTTTAACAGTAATTTTTAGGATAGATAATCTATTAATGATGAACAGATGATATAGTTTTCTTTCCTTTTTTCGATATGTATTCAACTTTTTATCCCATGCAACTCCATATACAGGCAAGCCATTGTTATATATTTCTGCACTATTGTCGCCATTTGTCTACTACTAAGTCGGGTCATGATGCATTATTTCGTGCCAAACGTCACAAGTAGTTCTTAACGCTATTCCTTTGAAATGTTTGATTTATTTAATGGATGTGATAGCTTCAATGAAAATTAGAAATGTATGTTCTTATAACCAGAATTTCGAGCGTTAGAAAGTACGAGAATATTTATCTCATTTTACAAATATAATTTCGTATAGGGCCAAGTAACAATAAAGCTGTGAATTTTTCACGAAATTTGTATCCTGTTTACCCCCAAAGTGGAGATGAGTTACACGTTCATGAAAAGACTGGAATGTTTCACTGAAAAAAAAAAATCACTCGTCCTCCGACGGTCAAGGAATCTAATACTATTTATGTCAATAACTTGCATTTATTACAAGAATATTCATATAACCTTTAATAAACAATCTTTTAAAATGTTTTTCTTATTTTTGTCTTTTCTATTCATTTAATATGTCACAAGCCTGCTTGAAAAAATAAACAGAAGACAAGTCATACTTCAGAAACATAGTGAATATTAATTCAGGCAAGTTTCTTGAAAAGTATTATAACCATGGTTTAGGATAAGTTTTCCCTGGTGCAAAATAAAAGACTGAAGTCATCGTATTTCCACTTGTAGTCATGTTGTATTCTACTTTGAGATGCAGACAAAAGCGATTTCAATAGAAGTTTGAGGAAACCTCATGTTAAAAGCATACTCAATACAACGTAATTGCGATGTAGCAATCAAAAGAATACTTTACATTTCATAAATCTTTTTGGTAGAAGTTTCGTTCATCTAAACGCTCAGCTGACCTTCTAGAACCCGACTTGCCTAATGGCGGAGTTTACCGAGACCGCCGCCATCTTGGACACGCTTCAGATTTTTAAATTCGAATATCTAGTGTGTGGATTGATCAATTCTTAGATAAATTATATATTAGACCTTTCCAGTAGGGTCTTAATTACCATTAATTATATCAAATAAAAATATTGAAAAACAAAAAAGTTGAAAAAGTGTACATTTTGAATTCACTTCCTGTAGCGACCGGAAGTACTTACGACGCAAACGAAGTCAAAATTGCACATCTATAACTCATGGTCTATCATCTTAACAAGTCTCCAGTTAATATCTTTAGCCGTTTTCGAAACAAGTCGAAACAAAATTGCATTTTAAAATCAGGAAATTGCCCATAACTTGACACTGGTACCGAATATTCCAACAAACGGAATTTTATATAAAATTCATATAATGACCTATAATTCCTGAAATTTTCATTGAAATCCACCGAATAGTTTACGAGAAATCGCCTGCACAAAATTTTGTCTAAGAAAAAAGAATAATAATAAGAAGAAGAAACAATAGAATCACTATAAGGTCTTCCGTGAAGACGGAAGACCTTAACTAGAGCAAAGCTCGTTGCAAAGCAACGAGTAGGTCTTCCGTCCTGTTTGACCGGAAGTAGCATTAATTTTTAACAAAAATGAGAAATAACGCCTAAAAATGGTTTGAATCCTTTAACGCTATGTTAATTAATGCAAAAATAAGCAATTTTTTGCTACTTCCGGTTTGACCGGAAGTGACGACAACGGACGAAAAAATTATTTTTTTGCTTCTAGAGACATTTGTTACCAAAAAACTTGTGAAGAACGGCAAAAATACGCGTTTTTCGACTACTTCCGGTTTGGCCGGAAGTGACGACGCCGGACGTTTTCTGACGACTTCAATAGATTAAGCTTGTCATTTTGAACAACTTTGCTTCTTTGACGTATTACAAATTCTCAATACGTTTTGAGATATAAAGAAAAAACTGTTGGCCCCTCTAGGCCCTTAAATTTAGGGGCCAGCCCTTTTTTCGAGATATCATTTGAAAGATCTTTAAATTCTGCACTTCTTTTGTTCTATACGTTTTCACAAAATATTTTCAGGTAAAAAGATATCGAAGAAAAGGTGTGAGAAATTTTGAAATTTGTGATAGGTCTATTTTCGGGCCATAGCGAGCGCCGACGAGCGTCACTTCCGGTAAATTTGATATACCTGATGCACCTCTCCAGACATAGCTCTACCTAGCCTCAAAGTTTGAAGTTTCTATCTAGAGCCGTTTTTCGGGAAAATTGTGGACAAAATGACCCTTAAAAATCAGAAAATTGACGATATCTCTAGACCGGAAGTGACGTCATCGAAACGGAAAAAAACGCATAAGGTTCAAGTGATGTTCCATACGTCCTGAAAGTTTCATAAGATTTTGTTGAGCCGTTTTCGATAAATCGCGTGCACAAAATCGGTAAGAAAAAAAAATAATAATAAAAGTGAAAAAGAAACCGAAGAAAAACAATAAGGTCTTCCGCTGAAGACGGAAGACCTTAATAAGAAACAGTAGAATCACTATAAGGTCTTCCGTGAAGACGGAAGACCTTAATAATAATAAGAAGAAACAGAGTAAAAACAATATGTTCCCCAACTTCGTTTGGGGAACATAAAAAAAGATTTGCAAGAAGACTAATGTTTAGAAGATATCCAAATAAGATTCCAAAACTTCATAAAAGTCCTTACACACAAAGATACATGGCGGGTTCCAGTAAATGTTCTACTAAGCCTCTTTCTAATGATATTAACAGTGGCGAAGGAGAAACTTAAGACTACTGTGCAACAATATATTCGAGAAGTGGTGTAAATGAAATGTGGATACCTAAAAAATTCCAACGAACTTTCTGAAATCACAAAATTTTACCAAAATCAATGACATAAAAACTTGCAACACACAAGTAGACTACACTAGGATACATAATTCTGTATATTGGTTTTTGATTTTGATGAATGGTGTTGCAATGGTTACTAAAAATAGAAATTTCTTTGAAATACTTCAAAAATGCTACCCAAAATACAGTTTAAGTCCGATTATAATATAAAGTGGCACACAAGTACCGGTACACAAAACTGAGATACTGTTTTTAATATGATGAATGATTTTGTCATGGTAATTAAAATTGAAAATTGCACCCCATTTATCTTACGCTAGACAAATGCCTGTACTGTAAAGAATGTATGGAAACCAGTTCCCTGATGGTCCTGCATCTTTGTTAATTTTTACCTCCTTAAAGCACTACAAGGCAAACTTTGATGAATATTGTCATTTATTAATGACGAACAACTAATTACAAATAAACTACCTTAACTACTAAGGAGATCCCAGATAAACGTACAAAGACTTATTGAGCACCTAATTTCACACAAGCAGCGGGATCTCCCTGAAGTCTAAGCAAGACATGATTATCATTGATGAATGTAAATTTAGAAGATGGAAGATCACCAGGTAACATATATACAACAATGGCAGGGGGATCTCCCTGTGATATAAAAAAAAATCAAAAACGTAAAAAAAAAAAAAAAATTAAGGTGGCATATATATCATTATTGTTGTTGTAAACTGCAACTTTTCTCTTCCTTTTTTATAAGTACAAACCAGTAGAGCTACAGTCTCGACAGACACTCTGGTTATCTTTGTTTCTGATATTTAACCATTGCTTTATCCATGTATATCGTTTGTAGGTTGTTGGTTGTTGATATCTAATCACTGCTATATTTATGTATATCGTTTGTAGGTTGTTGGATGTTGATATTTAACCACTGTTAATTTATCCATTTATATCGTTTGTAGGTTGTTGGTTGTTGCGCTGGCTTTTATGGAGAGACTTGCTCAGGTAAGAAATGGTATTATCATAAAAGTCTTCATATGCTTCAACGTTATAAATTGGAGTTAATACATAATATAATGAACTGTTTACAAGTCCTTGCAAAATAAAAGTTACAACTCTCTACATATCTCGTAGACGATTTTGTAATTCAAGAGTAGTGCAACCAAATGTTCAAAGAATTTTGTATGGTCGCATTTTTTTTATTTTTAGCTTGTCAAGGAGGGTCTGAGTTTCCTTGTAACAATAACGGGAATTGCAGTGATGGGTTATACGGCGACGGCACGTGCACGTGTTTCCCAGGATACACCGGAACTTCCTGTCAGCTCTGTATTAACAGTACCGACAATTCAACCACTGAATGTGGTACGTTTTCTTAATATTTTTACACATCCTGATAAAACGTACATGTGTACAATAGATATATGAAGTGATAAGGTATTCAACTGTAATTGAATAAATAAATGACATTTTTTGTAACAATTGAAACACTTTTTTCTATGGTCCAACATTATTACTGTTCTTCTCAATATTGTATGCTGATAAAATGAATTCTAAACACGTTTGTTGATATCGTCTTTTCTTTAGTAGTGTTGTCGTCTTTTTGTTGTTGTTGGGTGCAACAAACAATGCATGATATTTCAAAAATACCTGAAATTTTTCTCAAAAAGAAATTTCAAATATGAATCGAGTCAAAATTTGATTGCCCTTGTTTTAATTAATTATTTTCAGTGACTTCAGCACAAACTAAAAATATTTCATACCCAATCGATGTGTGCATGCGTCTTTTTACTCATTTCTATTTTTTACATTCAATATACAGCTAGATCATGTGCGTACCACAACGGTGGATGTCATGAAAACGGAACGTGTCATGAGTACGCCGGAAGTGTGACGTGTACTTGTCCCCAGGGGTTTGTGGGGGATGGACACCACTGTGTTAGACCCTGCGAGGAGAACAACGGAGGGTGCCATCAGTTTGCTGTTTGCAAAGAACTGGTATCGATGTTTACTGAAACTTCCCACATCTTCACCCCCCCCCCCCGTACCCTCCCCAAAAACATTATTTTTAAATATTTTGAATCGTTTAAAGGGTAACTTCACTTGCGCTAAAATGCAGTTTCAAAAGAAGAACATAATATAATTATATGTACGGGTATGTTTGCAAAAACTTGAATTTTAATCTAGCATTACTGTTTGGCTTTCAAAAACATTACTTTGCGCGTTGTTTAAGCTTTTGTTTAAATCTATAAATAATTTTCTTTTGTTTCAGAATGAAAATTCAACGGAAGTTGATTGTTTCTGTCAAAGTCAATACAAAGGCAACGGGCTTGTTTGCGTACGTGAGAGCTCTTGTTTAAATGTTGTTTTTTTTTCAAATTTTCAGAATTTGATTTATACAAAATTAATTTATTTTTTCAATTTATTTTTTATGTATTTATTTTTAGACGCTAATACCTGAGAAACAATCTGCAAGCATGACGGTTAGTTTGTAATTTTGCGGTATATACATACAGAATTTCTAGACTTTAGATACATACATTCTATATTTTATTATAACAGTAACTTGATATGAAGTTTATGATGATGGCAATAATGATGATGATAGTGATGATGATGATTTATCTTTACTCTATATTTTACAGGCCGGTATAACAGTGGGAGGAATCATTGGCTGTATCATCGTCGTCGGATTAATCTTCTTACTCATCATTGCAATTAGAAGACATAGACATTCAACGGCATTTTTAAACAAGGAGGTAATATATTAAATATATCATGTTTATTTTATATACATTTAAAATATTTAAGTTTCAAGTTATTTTAATTCTAGTTATCTCCCTTAGGCGATAAACTGGATAACAAAAATAAGGAAATATCGGGAAATGCTCGGACTTTGTTCAGTGCATAATTTGTTTTATAATGAGATTTCTCACACTCAGAATTATAAAATTCCCCACAAGCAAAAAAAAAAAACATGGCAATTTAGCTCATTCCCTGTCTGTTACCCTGGATCAAACCTCTCAACCTCTCCAAAGAATTTTGTTGATAAACGAGTACAACAATATATATTT